CTGCTTGATCAGCAAAATCTTTTCCACGCTAATTTAAGAAAAATATTTAATTAATTATTTATAAGGACAAAATTATCGAAAATAAAACATGATCATTTTTGATTTAACTTTGATTCTTTACAAGGATTACTTTTTCGAACAAGTTCTCTTTCTCTGAACATACAATAAGCACGTTACAAATAAACTATAGCTTTGGTGTTTAAATGACTATTTTGATTCTTTCTTCTGCTTACGCCAGCGAAAAAAAAATTGAAAATAAACATTTGTAAACAGTTCTGGTGTCCACTGTATGCAAAAATATTGGCACTTTTAGCTCGTACCTAATTAAGCTTAATTAGCTAATTCATTAAAAATTAATTATAAAAATAATTGTCTAATTTTACAACGGATAGGTTTAAGAATTTTAGAATAGATTCAACGCCACAAACTATACATATAATAAAATTTTCAAGGTGAACGAACTTCGAAAAATTGCCTTCATAAAAACTTTTTTTTTTCGAGATCAGCTCATGTCGCAAAGCGAAATTTTTTCTTATACTATCATCTCGAGACTTGTACTATTCAGAATTAATTTTTCAACTTCTCATTCAGTTACAAGAAGATTTTTTCGTTTCTATATTTCTATTCACTCACGACACACTCAACAAACAAACTTTCTTTGTTTTTGAAAATTCTAAGCATGTTCAGAAAAAATTTTGGATAGAAGTTTTGTATCTTGAAGAGTCTTCTACAAAATGCCCTGTTTAGTTTTCAAAAACACTGTTTGAACTCACAGTATTTTTTTATGGAAACACATGCAGTAAAAACCTGAGTACTTTTTTGTTTCATGTCATTCACGCTAGTTTTTCAATAAAAAGTCAAAAAAAAAATAAAGTTCTATAGGACTGACTTTTTCCTGATATTTAGAGTAAGAATTATGTTGCTGACGGATAAAGTTGATCATATGTCAATTTCACTTACTTCATATCGTGCTACTTTAAGTCCATATTTTCGATCAGCTTGAGCTTGATTACCAGCATGATATTCAGTTTTTGATTGAAATAATAAATGTTTGACAAACATAATATTGACATAATTCTTAAATAGACGAAACAAATATTAGTTGGTATACATTTTTTTGTTAGTATGTATAAAAAAAAATAAATAAAATTGTTTATCATGTTATGCATGATGCGTCTCCTGCTTCTGAAATTCCTCTACACAATGCTCCGTCTCTTGCTTTTGAAAACTGTTCATGCAATGCTCTCTCTGAGTTACGTAACTTGATTTAATTGATTTTATACTCGAATATGAATCTTTGACATCAGAAAAATAAAAGCTCTAAGCGAAGTAGAATGCATAATGTAGGGAGAGAGAAAGAAAAAAAACACGTTATTTTTGTGATTACATATATATGTCATGCTGAAGTTATTGCAGACTAACTAAAAAACAAATGCAATTCAATTGATTGATGATATTATAAATTAAATATGGTTTTAGTTAATTTTGTGCTTTAATAATTTGACTATTGGTGAGAAAAATTGAGAATTGGGAGCTTCCTTGTCGACATTTTTTTGACAATCTAATTGAAAAAACTTAGATTAGGTTTTAATTACGATATGGTATACACTATAAAAAGATATGTTTCAACATTTGAATAAATCTAATAAATAAAAATATTATATTCTGCATGTCTAGTTTTTCATTGCAAGCACATTTCATTGTCACTTTCTGATCTGCTAATTATAATTTCATTAACTTCTCCATATCAGCTTCATATGTTCTTTCTATTAATGAGCCTATTGGCTTTGTTTCTGCAGGATGGACATACAAATTGCTCTGAAACATAATAAAAAATGCGTACATCTAGTGAACTCCATCTTGTCTATATAACTCATCATAAATTTTTATCTCAAAGATAGTTAATTTTATTCATACGGAAACATTTTCTTTTACATTATTTCTCAATTTGAAGTTCATTTTAAATTAGATTACAAACACTTTAAGAATCGGTTTTGATCAACGGTAACAATCTAAAATATCAATACAAAACAATTGTCAAACTCTGTTGAACAGGTCCTATAATGTTTATTTATCTCAATAAAATCAAATGCATACGTTATCACGACGAGAAATTCACTATAACCACATGTTTTGTTAATCATATCATTAATGAAATAGTTATTATTTTTTTTTAGTTAATCTGCAATAACTTCGACAAACAGTGTAATCTCTATGTGACATAGATAACAAAAACTTGCAAAACACAAATTGACGTGGCCAAGTGTTATAGAATTTCCTTTACTTATTTTGTAACATCTATTTTCTCGTCAATAGCAAAAGCAAAGTCTTTGAAACTTGTATTATAGATAGAGACCATTTAGTTTTAATACCAGTGTAAATTTCATCGTTTTTTCCTTTAGCTCAAGTTAAGCTATTCAGAAAATACCGGTCATTACAGAATTTCAAACTTTATTATTTTACTAAGATACGAAGCGACATACAAACAAATTTTCTGTATAAAAGTTGTTCTGTTTTTAACAAGCACAACGGCATCGAATAATAAAATGGCAAATGTGTTCATTACAGAATTTCATCCATTTTTCGAAAAACCCAATTCCGGTTAGGATGAAATAAAAAAATCAGATATTTGTCATCAGCATATGGCTCTATATCAAATGGTGTATTTTTAACTAACCTGCAAGAAAAACATTTTTTCGACTCGAGAAAATTAAAAGATAATTTTTGATTAACTAGATACTCCATTTTGTTCAGAATTCAATATTAATTCCAAATATACTTATGAATAAAAACAGTGCAAAACGCTTAATCGTATTCGATCGATGAATAAATGATAGAAGAATTCTTTTTATATTAAACCCTCCTCATGTATATACGCATGCAAAATCTTACAAAAATTTTACTAACAAGGGAACATTCCCAGGTGCCCGAGCGATTTTCGGCCGGGACTTAGTGCATCTTGCAGACCTTAGTGCCCTATGTCCACCATAAAAAGGGTTCGTGCTTATGGCCTGTTTCTGAGGAGATCGAACGTTTTTAGTTTTATAGCTGAATATGTCCATAAGGTCTCAATC